CCATCAAGTCACACTGTCCTGTCATCCACGCATTGTGCACGTGAAGGTCAGTGATTGGAGTCACTGCACTAAGGCAGTATGGAAAGAGAGTCTTTGAACCGCTGTAGCCCGTGCAGGATACCACTTGATCGAACTTCTCGCCGGGGAAAGCACTGCAGCTCACCATGCCATCGGCATCCTTCCGGAACTCCATTTGGCTGGCATCACCGCAGATCCCATATCCTGGAACTTGCCGAAGTGTGCGAAATGTATTTATGGTGCCATATGCTTTACTACATAACCGTTTTCAGGAAATTCATACATGTTCAATTCATCAACAATGAGAACCAAGTAGCCGTGCAGCAGGAGATTCATCAGGAGAAAGTCGCGGAGCGGGATGATGCCTCCGCGAGTCTTTTCACGCACCTGCTGGCATGTCCTGGGATCTCCTACAATGTACCAATCCAAGGAATCGAGGTCCTGCGAATAGTCCTGAGTCTTCTCTGCAGCACTGTTTCTGGTGAGCGGCTGAAACCACTTTTCCACATCCAAGAACCCTCACAATTTGCTGTGTAGACTGTGGCGAGCCAGCAGCAAAAAACTTACTGTAACGAGGACCCAGAGTCATACTTCCAGTCCTCTGGTGTCACGCTCTCGTCGAGCATCGTGAAATGAATAAACGGATGGAGCCACTGCAGAATGCTGCTAAGCGGGCTGTTGAAGCCCCATCGGACATAGGCACAGGCACTACGGTAAATAAACCGAACCGTGTTGCCTTCCTGGATCAAGAACTTTGCAGCATCGATTGTGGACTTCCCGCTGCCGATCACTAGACCTGCAGGATTTCGCCGCCTACAAAACCGACGTTCGGGGAATACAAAACGCCTCTTCAAGATGTCGGGACATTGCGAAACCTTACACTTCAACGGCTTCTGGGATGATGGCGTTGCAAATTCACCTGCCACCAGGGCACAGCGCTTCCCCCGCAGGCTTTCGGTGACCTTGTTGAGGGCGCTGGAGTGCACCTCCAGAGGCAGCCCAAGTAGCCGCGGAACACCTGCCGCAAGCCAGAACAACCTTTTGAGAAACTAACGGTTTTAACGCTAGCTGCTGAACTTGGGAACCCATATGGGTTTAATCTCATAGTATGGCCCGGCTACTAGGGGCCGCAACATGTGCTGACCTTCTCACTTAGCCTCGTTGGACTGGGAGAAAGCATTTGGCCGCGAACATCACATTAAGCATCTACCATCAAGTCATATAGTCACCTTTTTCGTTCTTCTTGTCATGACAGGTATACCATAGACCACGAGTTCAGCAAACTTGCCGCAGTTGCGTAAATAATGCACGACCCGCGGGTCCAGCTTTTGCTGACACGGGTTACTGTGTAGACGACACCATGCTCGGTTCAACCAGTGCTATCTCCATGAACTGCACGGCATGTCTGTTGAGCCCTTCTCTCGGAAATACATATTGAAGCTCAACAGATCAACATGCGGTGTACATGAGATAGCAGGAGTGCTTAAATGTATACCTTTTTCGGACAATGGTCCGCTGCCGAAGGCGCGAAGAAGCCGCTACCGAAGTAACAACCTCAACCGTACATGAGAGCAGAGGAGACAAAAGCTAGGGCCAGGGAAACGGAAGGGGTAGCAATGCGTTGCAAATGCGAGCTGAAGATGGTAAGCGAATGTGAATGATGGCATGCCGTGTGCCAACTGGTAGGCAGCAGCTATCCAACTAAGTTTGATGGAAAACTTGAGTTCGCATGCGATTTCATAAGGCCCAAGCCTGCTGCTGGCTTCAATTGCGGCGCAGGTGCACACTGCGGCTATATTGCCGAATGATAGCGACTGCGCTGTCTGTTGTAGTGACCCCTTGAAGGAGGGAAGGGGGGGGGGACCTCAAGGTCGGGGACACCCCCTGCTTAAGAGCGGCCTTCTCAATCGAGCAGGTGATAACGTGCGGTGGTGGGGGGTTGGGGGGGGCACCGACCTGCTGATACTTAGATCCCGGATATGTCCGGAGCAAGGCCCCCCTAAATCTAAATTCTCTTTTGGAGCAAAACCAAACCTGTAAAATCCCGAAAGCTCCAAAGGAGCTAGCTGTCGTGACTGTGGGTATTCGCCATGCTCAACGTGCTCGATGTTGAGCGTACTCACCCGAGACATGCGTTCTGGAAAGAACACCATTTCTATTAGGAAATGACATGCGGTGTGGACTTAAAACAACGCATATCGCAATCCGACCAAAGTCTTGGACACGAAAAGCGTGTATATTTAATCTGAATTTTACATACCCGGCATACAGAAAAACGAAACTGCTTGAGCTAACAAGCACCTGGACGACAAAATGATGCCTTTGGATCGAAGGCTCGATTCCAGACATGCTGAGCTGGGGTTAGCTCCCGAGGTTGTGTAAGTCAGATCCACCTAGACAGGCTTGCTACAAACGCTTCAATTATTCTCTCTTCTGGCACACGGCAAAGAGCAGGGCACGCGCACCACCCCCGCACACGTATGTGCCCTGGTCTCGAAGATCGGTGTCACACTGCTGTCCGAGATGAGGTGCGGATTGGAACACTTGCTGACCCCAGCGCCCTCGAACTTTAGATTAAATCCCCGCCTCGCGCCTCATCTGATTCTCGCTTGCTTGCTTGCTTGCTTGCTTGCTTGCTTGCTTGCTTGCTTGCTTGCTTGCTTGCTTGCTTGCTTGCTTGCTTGCTTGCACGGCATTTGGGGGTGTGGGGAAACGCGCCCCCAGCCCCCTGCGCCAAAGCGCTACGCCAGTGTCCAAGCCTGGTGGTCGGCGTGAGTCTGATTATCGCTCCCTCTTGCTTGCTTGCTCCAGAGTAAAGGCACGCGCGAGCGCACCCTCCCTCGAAGGGGCTCTGTCTGTCCGGCGTCCAGCGCCCAAGTCGGCGTGAAACGTGTCCAGGGGATTTCCCTCTCCCTCTCTCTCTCTCTCCGAACTTGGGCTGTCCGACTGCATGAAGAAGTCTTACACCTGGTTTGAAACAAGAGTGCCGCAGGCCGTGCCACACGGGAACATCATGCTGGAAGGGCAACTCAAAGACCGTCTTTCTGGCTTTCACTCTGTCCAGCGTGCAAGGACACTTCTAGCACGCTTGGAAACTTTTTGTCTGATATTGTCTGACTGTTGCTGCGTATTGGAATTTCATGTATGACAACATATGACAACTCTCATCAAGACAATGATCTAAGTTATCTTTTGCCGAAGCGCAGGTTGATCCGCAATCCGCGCTGCTTTTGAACAGAGATGCTAGCCCCAAAAGAAGGGCCCAGCTACGTACCGTGCTTCAATGCGGAACCACTTTTTGCTTCGTGTCCAAAGGCATGGAGGGTACCGGTTCTGGGCCTGAGTAGTTGTCGAAGCCCGTGGCTTGGATGACATGTTCGCCCTGGACGCTCTTGAGATCGCCCTCGGACCGATACTGGACCACTCGTTGGGTTCCGTCCAAAGCCACCCCCACCACCTTCCACAGACCAGGGGCTTGGGAGGGGACCTACAGGATGCAAGCTGAAAAATTGTTCAGCCCGAACCAAACCTATTTGCTCACTATGTCATCAAATTGTGGTCAGTTCATCTAAGCCCCTTCAACCAGGACCAAATGGACAGAAACCCTGAGGGGCGGCTGCCTCGCCCTTGACCAGCACGCAGCCAAGGGTGTGCGCCACCTTCTCAGCATAGGTTCTGACCTGGTAACTCATTGCCTGGTGGACGGAGCTCTTGTGACACTCGGCATCATCATGGAGGATGTTAGGAAGCGCGTAGAAGTAGGTCTGTTGGTGAAGCTTCACGGTGTTGGCAGCTTCAGTCCAGATACCGCCAGGTTTCTCCTCACGGGAAACCAAGACAATCCGCAGGCTGGGATCTTTCCTGGGTGCTTGTGAAGAGATGTAACTTTTAGCACTGTACCTAAAGTTACTATATATCTAAATTATGCAGGGCGAATTTAAGACCCTCAGACAAGACCCAGTTTCTTGTGGAAGACCGCGGCCACGCCCAATCCCGTGAAGCCGGAGCCGATGATCACCACGTCGAAGCGACCATGATGACGAGGCTGCGACATCAAAGTGCCTGGAACAAGAGGACTGCGGTTCCAAACCCTTGATCTGGAACGCCTGCGCTGTTTCTTGCTGAAACGGCTGCGCAACCGCATCGTGGCAATTGAATCAAAACCCCTCGAAATGACCGTTTTGTGTTACATGTATCTTATATGTAAGGCTCCTCTACGCAGACCCGATTTCAGGACTGCTTGTCATTGCTACTTCACGGATTTGAACAGCACTTCAGCTGCCCAAGACTTCAGCGGATCCAAAGACTCGACTCATAAAGCTGGACAGCAGAAGCTCTTCACTGCATGAGTATGACCCTCCAAAAACCAGAAGCACCCGGAAAAAGGAGGTTCTGATTACAAGATGTCAGGCTCTTAACAATAAAGAAGCTGCGCTTTGTGGAAACCTGAACGATAAGGTAAAAGGACGTAAGAGAGAACGATTGAAGCAGCAGACAACGTCGCCTTCAAATAACAACTGCAAGACATGGACTAGGCTAAAGTCTAGACATCGGCTTAGCCATGGGCAACATGTGCTTCATTGCTTGTGCAGGGGCTATCATGACACCTCAGCTTGAACATGGTTCTGTTGGTCTCAATTACGCCTTATTCGGATGCATGCTTATAGCTACGTCATGCTCACACGTGGCCGAGACATATCCCGCCGTCGCGGCAACCACCAAAAGACGAACCTCATGCACCCTTCGGCACCGGTACGAACCTTTTGCGACACTTCCTGGCCGCTCGTAACATTGATGGCTGGTGGCCTCGCGGAATGACACTGCAGGAGGCCTGCTAAGCCTGCTATGGCATGCTAAGACCCAGCTCACATGCCAGGATCTGTCAGCCTATCCTCAGCAACGTAAAGGGCAAGCTGGCTCGCTCGCAGCTACGCCCCTGTTTCGGGCATGCTGGAGGCGGCCCAAACCAGGCGACCGTCATCTTAAGATCTGGGCACATATTGCTTCAAAACCTCGTTCCAGGCGAAGGCTTTGTCTGGACACATGCCTGGAACTTGGGGTAAGCACGTGTTGGCGCGGTAGTCACAGTAGCCAAAGCGCTGACACAGCATATCAAAATCTGCCTTAAAGTATCGGTATACCAGGTCTTTCGTGTCTTCATCCAGGTCCGCTGCCCAGACATTGTTGCAACCTGTTATCTGAAGAATCACATTCTGCTCGACCAGGGCTGACTGCAGGCCATTGTAGGTGAGCATCCTGTTGAGACTCTCAGGAAAATACAAGTTGTCCACTGCGATCTGGATGCCGTAGGGACCCTCGAAATACTCTGCTTGAGGAATGAAGGTGCATTGGCTGGCATACTTCCCGACAGTGCCATTCATGAGACTATGCATTAGCCACTTGAGCGCACCGTTCACGTCGCAAACCTTGTGAAAGTGGGGTGGAAATCCGCCATACTGAGAGTAGCCACCACGGAACATAGCGATAAGGCGCTCGTAGGGATTGCGGAGTATGCCAAAGACCTTCTTCCCAGAAATGTACGACTTCGCAAGATCTCCGGGCCAGTACTTCGGTGGTGTGAAGTACCTCTACCATCTTGTTGAGAAGTCAGAGCTTAACGACACTACAACACCGAAAACGATAGATTACGATAGCATGAACCCCCAACCGTCAGCCCGAAACATCCAAATCCTTCTGACACGATTAAAAAACCGCTCTGCTCCAGGGCCGCCATGGGCTTAGCCATGGGACATGGGGCAGCCGGTCACCTCCGAGAGCTGTTGCAGTTCTGGGGCCACACCTCCCCAAAGCTTCGCCTCCGGGTTGTCCGCAATAGCTTGCTTCACAACGTCCTGGCTTTTGGAAGGGTTTAAGGCGTAGAGCGGCTCAAGGATCGATTCGTTTCAACTAGAAGGCAACGCAACTCTGCGAGTTCCTGGAGATCCAGCTGAAAATGATACGTACCAGGCTTAACAATAAAAAAATCCAACTACAGCTTACTTAATCCATGACCTAATGGGAGCTCCGAGAGCAATTTGAACGTAATGCTAAAATAGCAATCGGGCAGCCGGCGACGGGCGAGCATGAAACCACACCGCGGAGGACCCTTCCACCTGGGCGCCCTTGTCGCCGAAAAGCCTGAGATCGGAAACATGTCATGACGTTCTTGCCGTTGAGAACGGCGCAATCCGACACCCTCAACCATAAACCAAATGTCCAAGTGTTGAAGTTTCTCAGACCATGGTTGCACCAGAAAACCCCTTCAGTCTTTCACATTTTGCGGAAGCCAACAAATGTCACAAAATCTAATGCCTTAGCACGACAACTCCCTTGAACTCGCAACAGGGGACTCCTCGGAACGTCTCCAGGCCTCCGGTACCGACCAAGTTGAGGTAACGTTATGGCCGAAAAGTGCTGCCACCCCGACAGTATATCCAAAGTTGTACGGAATGTGGATGAACAGCATCTCGTGTGCTGGTGGCTCATCCTTGCAGGAGTCATCCACACAAACGTCCGCTGCCAGGCCTGGCCACAAAGGGAGCAACGTGAGAAGCGTCCACATCATCCTGAGATCTAGTATTTTTCGAGGTCTATGCGTGGAATGCCTGGGCCAGAAAACGCAAGTCGCTCGAATAAAAAACAGCAGGAGCATCATGATGGGGCGGCTCCTCTGCTGGGAAGGGGGGCGTCCCGGCTCACGACCAAAGACAAGGGCCTACAGTACCGTGAGCGGGTGTTACTCTGCTGAGGCCAAGCTGGGAGGGGGCCCAGCTGCAAAGAGGCATGTGGCGGACTTCTTTGAACCCTGGTCTCGAGTCCCATCAGGCACTTTCAGCCTGCCGGAGATTTTACTACTCAAACGGCTTTACACTTTACTCTAGGGGCCGGTTTCGTGCTCCGAGGAACGAAGCATCGACTCCGAAGCGCCAAGGGGCAAAACTACCAGACTGCGAGACAACCGACAGGGCCGAGATTGGAAGAGATTTGCAAGGCATTGCCATCGACCCAAAAGCAGAATCGGCCTGCCACTCTCTTACGGAGCTGACGGCCAGAAACTGCAGGCTTCAACGCACAAAACCATCAAGAATCAAAACCTGAATTCTTCGTATTCTCTGCAGTCTGCGCTACAGCCGCAGAGGCAAAAAAGTGCTACACTATCAGAATACTCATTCTCCTGCCATGCACAGTCTTGCAAGGCATTGCAAGACTTCGGCGGAAGCA